GTTACTGCCCATCTCTGCAGATGAGACCAACATAGAACTTCTTTGTTTGAATGAGACGTCTTCTTTAGAGAAAACACTTCAATTTAGCATCAGAACTCTTTGTGAAACATGGAAGTTGGAGTGTAAGAATTTTACCGGATCCACTGCATCCAATCCAGGACAGCACTCCATCACAGACTTAACAGTGAATACTGAATTATGCCAGAAGTTGTTCTATCAAAGAAGCATAAAATCTGTCCTTTTCAATGAAGGAGAGCATGAAGTGAGCAGTTGTAGGGCAAATGTATAAGCACCTGCTACAAGTTTAACTTTTTCTTTGAGAAATGAGGAAATACTACTGATTTTAAAAAAATACTCTAGATGGTTAAGTTAATGAAAGCAGAAAGTGTAAAACTATAGGAATTGTTAGAAACAGTAATCAGCTTTAGGACATCCTGTGGAATCCCACTTGTACTCCACTTATGTCTCTTTTATTGGTGTCATCTGGCTTTTCTGCAGATAAGCTGGCATTTGTGGGCTTTAAGGGCTCCTTCCACCCTGACTGGGTCTATCTGGAGGCGGACAGCGAACGAGCCAAGATCCATCAAGTTTTGCCCGTCCCTGTGATCCACAAGATGAAGCTATGAGTGGCAGTCAGAGTGGGGAGGATCAGCCAAGTGACTATTTGGGCCTGGATACTGAAACACAACACCCCCACAAAATCAAATCAAATCAAATCAAATCAAATCAAATCAAATCAAATCAAATCAAATCAAATCAAATCAAATCAAATCACTTTTATTGTCACATCACATGTGCAGGTACATGTGAGTGAAATTCTTGTGTGCGAGCTTCACAAGGAACAGAGTTGTGCAAAATACAATAACGTAAATCAAGCAAAATATAAGAATGGCTAAATCTGAAACTAACAAATATATGTACAATATATATAAATGCATACAGTATATGCATTTCTGGATGTGTATACTAAATATGTTTTTCTGCGTGTGTGTGTGTGTGTGTGTGTGTGTGTGTGTGTGTGTGTGTGTACACATATTTTACAAATTAAATAGAGTAAACAATAAAATATATAAAAAAATACAGAG